TCCAGCGACATAGCCATTACACTAACTACTGATCCTAAGACTTATTTTTTTTTTGTTCTTATTTGCTTTTATCATTTTTTTTTTTAATTTGACTAGAAACAGAAAGAAAGAAAGAAAATGAAAGGAAAAAAGCAAGGTGTCAAATTGGGACTTGAACCATGGCCAGCCAAGTGGGATTCCACCTTGTTAACCATCAGGACACCTGGTGGTATCTAACATAACTATATTCTTAGGGCCCCTGTCTCCTACTTCACTTATAAATCCCATTTAAACGTGCTGCTCGTTAAAAGACACTTTTTATTTTTCATGTAAAAAATATTGAATGTTATAAAAATCATTTCTTTCTTACCCATATTTGGAATGGACATGAATGAAAAGAATTCAAGTGCATTAGAGACTTTGAAATCATAAACATGAAACTACTGTAGATGGTATTAATTTTAATAATCAAAATTGCACTTAGGCTACTTTTTTTTCTACCATAGGTTACACATATGACATATTTATATAAGCTTTGAGTGAGTATGTTTGTTTGTGTGTGTATACATATAATTTGTAGCTCCGACTACTTCGTTTAGTAAGATCTTTTCTGAAATATTAAACCTGATTGCAATGAAGCGTAGATTCCCTTTAGAAGCAACCCCAAGTGCACTGTCCTCCTCATGCAACCTCTATCTCAAGTTCAGAGTATACCTAGCTACCCAACTTTAATGTGAAAGCTGATAAGAAATCTTAAAGCCATTACTGAAAATAGCATGGAGGTTCCTGTCAAAAGTAAAAATAAAAATGTCAAATGATCCAGCCCTCTCACTATTAGGTAATGTCAAAAACAAAGAAAATTGGATGGCCAGTCCAGTGCTCTTGCAGCTCTGTTAACTACTTACTGTAAGACGTGGACTCAACATTAAGTGTCCGCCAATAGACAAATGAATAGATATTATTCAAACTTAAAAAAAATACAATTCTATCATTTGAGACAACAGGACAGAATTAGAGAACATTATATTAAGTGACATAACCCACTCATAGGAAGTGAAGAATCCTGACAGCTAACTGCATTCCTGGACTTTGCCTCTATTTACCCAAACACGAAGCTGCCTCCACAGCTAATTTGAATATGACAGAAGCCTCAAGCAACACAGCTGTACTAAGATCAATGGCATCATCCTCAAGTCATTATCAGATGATCTATGCTGTACTAGAATTTAATGCATGTACAAACGCACATTCAAGAACATACAAAGTGCAAAATATTTTTTTTTAGCTTTAATTATTCTAGTAAGGCATCAACCCTTGCTTAAAGTCCTATAAACTTGTATTTTTTAGAGTTTATTATGTACTAATATCTTAAGTTGTTACAATGCCAGGACACTTATCATTCAAAAATTTAAGCACTGACAAAAACATAAATAACTTTAACTGCAA